CTAGCGTTCCTGCTAACGTACCTAGAAAGGCAGTGCATCATGGCCTAACTGCTTTGGACCTTGCCACCCTTGAGGGAGACGAGGATGGGGTTCCTGGTTCATCACTTTGGCTTGGTTCAGTCCTGGCTGTTGCAGCCATTTGGGTAATAAACCAACAGATGGAAGATTCCCTCTATTTCTGTGCTCTCTGTTGCTTTTGGCAGGGACCCAAGTACTTGGGCCATCTGCTGCTGCTTTCCCAGGTGCCTTAGCAGAGAGCTGAATCAAAAGTGGAGCATCCAGAATTTGAACTTGTGCTCATATGCAATGCTACTGTGGCAGGTGGCCTCTTAACCTGTTGTGCCACAACACTGTTCCTAAACTACTGTGTTTCTAGAAAAAAATGCAGTTATTTGATTAATCTACCAGAATCAGTTGTTACTGCTTCTGTAGTTCTCCTAAGTTCTGGTTCTATTTTGTCACCTATGCTGAGTCCAAGGTTCTGTTGTCATTGTTGTGTTTCCAGAGGCTTTTTTAGATACATGCAAGTGAGAATTTAGAGGTCACACCAGAAAAAAATTTTCATTATAAAAACTCTTTTTTAAAAACACACAAACAAGAGTTTAATCTTTATGTTTCTTGTGTTTCATAAGTGCATCTGAATACCAGTCACGACTTCTCTTCCTGGATTTTACTATTTGCAGCCAACAACTAGGTTTAAATTTTACCCTTGATCTCAGCTCATATACCTCAAAGGCTTTTAAATAGTCCATTGCCGTTTACCCAGAGGTGGCAATGATTTTACGGTTTCTTACCTCTTAAAGGAGCAGCATTTCTTTTTTTTGTTTGTTTGTTTTATCTATATCTGAGCGATTTATTGACTCTGAAGAATAGCCAGCAGAATCTAACAGGTTATAAGATACATCTGATCTTGCTCAGTTCTTTGTTTTCTTCCTTACAGTGAAACACTCTTTTTCCAGTAATATTAGCTACACCTTCCCTGTTTATTCCATTGCAAACATACCAACTTTTTGCTGTTTTAAAAAATAATCCAAACATAGGCCTTTGCTGGGCCTTTCACTTCTGTTCCCTTTGCCTGGAATGCTCTTGAGTCAGTACCTGCCTGGCTTCGTGCCTCACTTTCTTTGTGTCTGCTGCAGTGTCACCCCAAGAGCCAAGCCCACCTGACTCTCCTTTCAAACCTTGCCACCCCTTCTCTGTATTTCTGAGCTTACTTTTCTTGCTCTATTTTTATTCATAGCACTTCTCACCTTTTAACAATCTATGTAGTTTAATTACGTATTAGGTTCTTTGTCGCTCCCCCTCTTCACGGAGGAACGACACAAGACCCTGCGTTGTTCTTTCGTCTGCTCGGCCCTCCCCGGGTTTGCTGCTGGTTCTTCCCGGGTTGGCTACCGTCCCTTCCACCTCCGTGGAAGGGCGGTTCCCCCTGCCACATTCCCCACTTCCGCGGGGGAGCGGCACACCGCCGGCCGGCTCTCTCGGGGGCTGCACAGGTGTTCCTTCAGATAGATCTTCCCCTTAGATGTTCCTGGTGCATGTTGTCTCTCTCCTCCTATATAGTCCTCTTCCGCCAATCCCAACTCGGCTGCCCACACGCCGAGTACGCTGCTCTCCTCCAATCAGGAGCAGGATCAGCTCCTGGAGGTCATCACTCAAGTTGGCAAGAGGCAGCTGCGTAGAAGCTGTTTTCTCCTCTCCCAGCGCCATATTGTGGGAGAGCAGATGCATAGAATAAGTCTTAATTCCAGTAACTCAGTCCAGTCCGGGTTGCTCCCCACAGTTCTTGTCCTTCTTCACCACAATTAAATGTAAACTTTTTAAAGGCAGGGTGCTTTTTTTTTCCTGTTTCTTTTTTGCATACGCATAGGCCTTTTACTTATATTTCATCTGAAAGCATGTGTAGTCAGCCCTACAGTTCCCCATCTGTGAATTCAACCGCCATGGAAGGAAAATGTTTGGAAAGAGATTATATATGTTCTGAACATGTGCAGACTTTTTTTCTTGTCATTATTGCCCAAAAACTACAGGATAACCATAACATTTACCTTGCATTAGACATTAGATTTAGAGATGATTTATTTAAATTGTTTTATTAGAAATTGTTAACATGTTTACACATAGAGTAATAAGTGATGTTTTGATATATGTGTACATTGTATACTATCCAGTCAGGATAAATATATTTCCCCCTTCAAATATTTAACATTTCTTTATGGTGAAAATATCTAAAGCCTATCTTGTAGTTTTTTTTAAAAGTAAGCGATATACAGTACGTTAGCATTATCTATGGTCATCCTACTGTGCAACCTAACACCAGCACCTCAATCAGCACTTCAGCTCCTGTCTTGCTATAACTTAGTACCCGTTCAACATTTCACATCACTCCCTCCCTGCTTCTATTCCCTTCCTCTTTGTTTTCTTGGAGTTCATTTAGGTTCTGTAAAGCAGTGATTTTGAAATCTTCTAGCATATGAAAATTTCAGTTCTTTGACTGGTTCCTGGCACCTCATTTTGCTCTCTCTAGGTGAGGTCATGGTTCCCTGGAAGTTCTTGGTATTTGTTGGAGCATGACATCATCTGTGTATTGATGGATTCATTGTAAGACTCTAACCACATTTGTGGCTATCTTTCTAGAAATTCTGTGCAGTCTCTATTTTTTCAGAGCCCATGGGTACTTCTGCTATTTTAATACTAGATAGTACCCTAAATCCAGGTTTGCCTGAGGCATATATATATAATTACTATTTTAGTCTTACAGTACTCCCCAAGCTCAACTTTGTCCCAAATCTGCAGTTGGTGTCTTATTCAGAATGAACTGGTGGTGTCTAGAAAGGGTTAGTCTGTCTCTGAAAGTGTTTTCTGGGGCCTGAGGTAGGCTCAGAATGCTTGTCTTATGTCTACCAATGCATGATGCTAGATCATATCTGGAACCGATGGCCCACTGAGACCACTGTAGCCTGGGGTAGAACCAATGCTGACTCTGATGTGGTCTGTCTGCTGCTGAGGTGGACTCCTGCAATGTGGTGGAATGAGAAGGTGAGAAGGTCATGCCAAGATGGCCGCTGACAACAGAAACTGCCTGGCAACAGGCTGTGATTGGATGGCTTCGGAAACCACATGACAACAGAGCCTGACTGACAACATGTCGTGATTGGATGGCTTCGGAAACTACATGACAACAGAGCCTGACTGACAACAGGCTGTGATTGATTGGCTTTGGAAACTGCCTGGCAACAGGCTGTGATTGGTTAGGGCATAGACCGCCCCTTGGCCAGATTGGTTGCCTTGGCTATATAAGCAGCTGTAGCACCTGAAATAAACGAGTCTGCGGGTTGCTTGCCTCAGGCCTGCTTTCACCAGACTCCCGGGGGTCTGTGTGGTGACTCCACGCCTCTTGCCCTCACCACGCTCCTCTCATGAACGAATCCACAGCAACATCTCAAGACACTGGTGGTACTGGCGGGGGTATCAGACTTATCAGCTGAAGCCACAGAATGCCACTTGGCACTGAAGCAGGTCCAGAGGTTCATCTGTAGGCACTGGCCTGGAGACAGGGACTGTTAGGAAGCAGTCCTGTGGTTCCTTGCTGTTGGCTCAAGGTTATAGAAGGGGTGATAGAGGCAGGCCCTCAGCTACCCACGTGGGCACCAGGTGGGTCATACCTGGGTCTCGTAGTTATTAGGCCCTGTGCAGTCATTCTTAAGGGTGCACACTAGGTCCATGTGAGGCTGGTGATGACTATGAGAAAATAGGATTATCTCATCAGGGTATGTGTCTTTGTCTGACATGAGGATAAGTCCAGAGACTGTTTCCATAAGCAGTTGCCCAGGTATGGGGACTGTTAGGGTCTACCCAGTGTTGGGCTTTACCAGCTATGCAGTGAGCCCTAAGACACCATCCCATGGCTCCTTGGTGTCTGCCAAAAGATGGAGGGAGGTTGATAAAAGGAGTTCCCTGGCCACCCGGACTGGCACCAGTCTCACAGTGTCCCAGGGGTACACACCAGGCCCACCTGAGGCTGGCATTGACACACCAGGGCAAGTCCATCCTGCTGGAGTGTAGACCTTTATGCAGTGCTAGCCAAGTTCAGGGGAGGTGGGTGGTAGAGTCGTTTGGGCTTTATCAGATAAGGTGCTGGTCCTCAAGGTGGCAGGTCTGGCTCTGAGGTCCACGGCATGGTCCTCAGCTGCTTCTCCTGCCTTCTCCGCAGCAGCTGTCATCTTGCTCTGCTCTTTGTTGTTTGGGGGAGGGGTGGTGGAGGCCACCTGCCTATGCAGGTGCCGAATACATTTTGCAAGAATGGGCCTGGAAGCAGGGATCATGGGACTCTGTCTACTGAATTTTTTCGCAGTGGGCATGGCACTGGGCTTCAGATCCCTCTCCCTCCCCTGAAATGGGAGCCTTCTTTCTCCATGCTGCACTCCTTGGAGCTGGGGAGGGGTGATGTGCACAACCTTTTCCTTCTTGTCATCGTCAGTGTGATTTTTAAAAAACTTACCTATACTAAAACAAGACACTGTGATCTTTCCTTTGGCCTCTCTAGCTCTTGTGAAGGTAACTTGGTGTGTGAAGAGCTGTTCAAATTGGTGTCTGTGTGGGTAGGTGGTCGTTGGAGTAGCTTACTTAGACACCATCATGGTTTGCCTGAAATGGTTTAAAGTATATGGGAGCATAAGTTACATGGAAATGCAATGCTATTTGATGAAAGGGATTGGAATATTTACAGACCTGGGTATCTAAAGGGGATCCTAGATCCCATTCCCCCTTGATACTGAAGGATACTCTGTTACACATATAAATTTTACATAGACATTTTAAACTAATAAATCTCCAGTGCCTAGCTAATATCTGACACATAAGAATTCAAATACTTGTTGAGTGACTGAATAAACTATTTTGAGATCCTATTTTAAATAAATCACATTTAGGGTTAGAATAATTCCATTTGCTATATCAAAGAATTATGTATGATTGTTAATTATTTTTTCTCTTCCTAGATTCATCGAAGCAAGAACAAATGGAAGTTCTATTTGAAAGATGGTGTTATGTGTTTTGGAGGGAGAGACTATGTATTTGCAAAAGCCATTGGTGATGCAGAGTGGTAAACCTTATGAGCTCAGTGTGTTACTTTTGTAAACATCAGTGGGGCTATATTGCAGATTGTGAAGCTTATTTCTGTTTTAAATATAGTCCAGTGTAGAGCTGCTCAAATTTCTATTTCACTCAATGGAATTTAATAAAATTATAGTTCAGGTGTAGGTACCAATGTTCAAGTTTATATTTGTTTTCTGTTTGAAACAGATTTTTTTAAATCTTCACTTGTACCATTACAAAGCATATATGCGTTGAAGGTGATGGAGCATGAAGAAATGTTCTTTATTTTTGAAGCAAAATTTAAATCAAATTCCATTCCCCTTCATGTAAAGTGAATATCGGTTATTAGGTTGGGGCTGGCATTACTTCCACTTCTTACCACACCATAGCAGAGAAGACCCTGGGATGTCTTCTCTGTAGTGTGATATTGACGAAGACTTTTCCGGGTCTTCGGTCTTTGTTGCTCACTGGAGATACCCTGAGTGTGTCAGCCCAGCTGGTTTCTGTGAGAAAGAGGTCTACATTATTATTTGAACATAAAAATCTTTGCTGAGGTTTAGCATCACTGGGCTTATCATGTGGCAAGATCATTCTCATAACCTTGGGGAATTGTGAAGGAGTGGGTTAAATGTCCTCCTTCTTGAAACTTTAGACTTCCATCTTTTTCCTAATCCCAGTGAGTTTTCCCCTCTCCTACTTTTTTCTGTTGCTCTTAGAGTGGATTATCCTTTTGAAATCCCTTTCCTCAAAGGCAGTATCTCTCTTTTGCCCTAGGAGGGAATCTCCTCATTGAGATTAGGTTTTTCTGAAACACAAGCCAAGAAATGATGTTCTCTTCTGGAATGCTGTGTTTTGACCAGGACCTCTCATTTGAGTCAAGGCATCCTAGATAACTATGTTGAAACCAGGGAGAGAAAACAAAACATAAAACATTAGTAGCTGTCATTTTTCTGTAACAATAAAAACAAAACAAATTAATATCCCAATAAGCTATTTCATATTATGCACTTCCTCTGTAGATTCAAATCCCTCAAAGGAAAATTATCCCAATTGCTGTTTCTCTTAGTGGCTATGGCACACATGGTCTTTGGTGTAGGAGCCCCAGTTTTGGTCCTGAGTGGTGTTCTCCAGGACAGTAATTGCGCAAAAAGCAATGAAAGGATCAGATTTTGTCTATGAAAGATCCCAGTGGATGAGTACTTAAATCTAGATGGACATAGGGAAAATTCATTTTCTTTTTCTTCTTGTTTTATTTTTAAAGATTCATTTTATTTGAAAGGCAGAGTTACAGAGGAGAGACAGGGAGAGGTGAGAGGAAGAGAGAGAAGGAGAGGGAGAGAGAGAGATCTTTTGTCTGCTGATTTATTCCCTAAATAGCTGTGACAGCCACGGTTGGGCCAGGCCAAAGCCAGGAGCCAGGAACTCCATCCAGATCTCCCATGTTGGGGGCAGGAACCCAGGTGTTTGGACAATTTGCTGCTGCTTTCCCAGGCACATTAGGAGGAAGTAGAGCAACTGGGACTTGAACTAATATTCCTATGGGATGCCAGTGTCACAGGCAGCAGCTTAACATGCTGCACCACAGCAGTAGCCCCCAAGGAAAATTCCTTTTTGTTTCGGATAGCAACTCCACTTGTAGGGTTTATTGAAACACTGGTTCTGTTCTATCAAAGGGGCTCAGATGTTGCTGCATCTTTTCAAAATCTGGGTGAATCTTTTGTGGGTCTTGAACAACATGAGTAAGATGTTGCCTTTGACCTAAGACTGGCAGCTTCATGAAGATTCAGTTAGTACTAGCGGGTGGGCAAGTCCCTTAGCCACGTTCTCCAGCTCTGTCTTCTTCATACTCACATGCACAGCCATTGTCTTTTACCACCACTGCTATTCCGTTTTTTATTTTTGACAACAGAAAACTTACACATACCTGTAGAGGACCATGCGATTTTTTCATACACACATAATTGTTGTAATTTAGAATAAACATATCTGTCTATTCAAACATTTGTTTCCTTACTGTGAAAACATTAAAAATCTTGTTTTTTTTTTTTTTTTTGAGAAATACACAGTACTTGAATGTTATCTACAGTCACCCTACTATGCATAGAACACAAGAACTTCTCATTCCCATCTAAGCATAACTTAGTACCCATTAAGCAGCCTTTGCCCATCCCTCTCTCCTGCTTCCCTCTCCGGCCTCTAGGAACCTTGATTATACTTTAACGTCTATGAGATAAATTTTTTAAGATTCCCCATATGAGTGAGGTCCCGTGGTTCTTGTTCTGTGTTTTCCTTATTTCACTTAACATAATGAACTCTAGTGCTGTCCGTGTTGTTGCACACGATAGTACTTTAAATGGCTGATTGTTACTGCATGGTGTTTACGTGCCACGTTTTCTTTATCTACTTGTCAGTTGATGGACACTTAGGTTGTCTCCATTTATTAGCTGTCATGATAGTCTTGAAATTAACACAGGAGTGTAGCTGTCTCTTGGATGAGCGATTTCATTTCCTCAGATAAAGTAGTGTACATAGTATGGTATACAGTATATGGTATACAGTAGTGCTGGTAGCTCATTGTGATTTTGATTTTCATTTTACTGGTGATTACTGATGTTGAGTATTTTTTCATTTACTTGTTGGCTATTATCTTTTTTTAATTAAAGATTTATTTATTTGAGAGGCAGAGTTACAGACAGAGGGAGAGAGAGAGGTTTTCTATCCACTGGTTCACTCCCCAAATGGCCAGAGTCAGGCTGATCCAAAGCCTGGGACGAAGAGCTTCTTCCTGGTCTCCCATATGGGTACAGGGGCCCAAGCACTTCGCCATCTTCTACTGCTTTCCCAGGCTGTCAGAGGGAGCTGAATTGGAAGTGGAGCAGCCAGAGCTCAAACTGGAATGTCGGTGCCTAACCTGTGCCAGAGTGCTGGCCCCTGTATGTCTTTCTTTGAGAAATATCTATTTAGATCTTCTGCCCATATTTTAGTTGGGTTATTGTATTTTGCTATTGTGTTGAGTTCCTTATATATTCTGGTTATTAATATTTTCAGATGTAAGATTTCCAAATAATTTCTCTCATATCTTTTCATTGTTGATCATTTCTTTTGCTGTGTAGAAGCTGTTAGTCTATTTTTGCATTTGTTTTCTCTGCTTTTGGGGATTTGATAAAAAAAAAAAAAATCCTTGCCCATTCCATGTCCTGAAATGTTTCTCCTGTATTTTTTTTTCTAGTAGTTTCAGGTCTTACATTTTGGTCTTTGATCCATTGTGATTGTTTTTGTACAAACGTCTGCCTGTGGATTTCTGATTCTCCCTGCACTATTTATTGATGACCACAATGGCCGGAGCTGCTCTGATCTAAAGCTGGGAGCCAGGAGCTTCTTCTGGGTCTCCCACGAGGGTACAGGGGCCCAAGGACTTGGGCTATCTTATACTGCTATTCCAGGCCATAGCAGAGAGCTGGATTGGAAGAGGAGCAGCAGGGACTAGAACCCCTGGTCCCATATGGGATGCTGACGCTTCAGGCCAGGACTTTAACCCACTGTGCCACAGCACCAGCCCCAGTTATGCTTATTGATTCGTGAATGCTGAACCATCACTAGAATGAATTCCGCTGGGTTGTGATGCATAATATTTTTAGTGTGGTGCTGGATTGGTTTTCCTAGTATTTTGTTAAAGATTTTTGCATCTATGTTCATCAAGGATATTGACCTTTGGTGGTTTTTGTTATGTCTTTCTTGGTTTTGGTATCAAGGTAATACCTTCATAAAATGAATCCTGGAAGAATTCTGTCGTCTTTTTTTTTGTAATAATTTAAGAAGAATTGGTGTTAATTCTTTAAATATTTGGTAGAAGTCAGCAGTAATGCCATCTTGTCCTGAGCTTTTCTCTGATGGGATACTTTTTTTGTTATTGACTCACTGTTGCTACTCATTACTGCTCTGTTTAGGTATTTTAATTCTTCTTGATTGACAGTTGGTAAGGTGTGGGTATGAATAAATTTCTCCATTTTATTTCCTGAAATTATCCAATTTTCTGCCATATCATTATTCATAATCTCTAACAATCCTTTTTATTTCTGTGGTATCAGCAGTAATATTTCTGTTTTCCTAATTACTTTAACTGTCTTTCGAAAATGTATTTGAAAGTTGGGAAGAGAGAGAGAGCAGGGGAGAGGGGAGAGAGAGCAGGGGAGAGGGGAGAGAGAGCAGAGGAGAGGGGAGAGAGAGCAGAGGAGAGGGGAGAGACAGACAGACAAAGAGAGGTCTTGCATCTGCTGGTTCACTTCCCAAATGGTCAAAACAGACAAAACTGGGCCAGATGGAAGCCAGGAGAAAGGAGCTCCATCTGGGTCAACTACGTTGGTATAAGGGCCCAAGTATCTGGGCCATCTTCACCTGCTTTCTTAGGTGTATTAGCAGGGAGCTGGATCAGAAGTGGAGCAACTGGGATTCAAATCAGTATCAATATGGGGTGCTGATTTCAAAGGCAGAGGCTTAACCTGCAGTGCCGCAATGTCAGCCCTTAGTTGTATATTTTCTTAATCCAGCTAAGCATTTGGCAATTTTGTTTATCTGTTCAAAGTAGCAGCTCTTCATTTCCTTGATTTTTTTGGTATTGTTTAGTTTATATGTTATTTATTTCTGTTCTGTGTTTTTTTTTCTACCTACTTATTTTTGGTTTGATTTTCTCTTTTCCCCCACTTCCTTGAGGTACAGTAATATATTGTTTGCAATATTCCAGCTTTTTTGATGTAGGTATTGGTTGCTATAAATTTCTGTTAGTACTGCTTTTGCTGGATCCCACAGGTTTTGATAGGTTATGTTTTCATTTTCATTCACTTTAAGAAAATTTTAATTTCCTTCTTTATTTCTTGATCCACTTTCCTTGGTCAAAGGTAAGTTGTTTAGTTTCCATGTATTTATATTTTTTGCAAAGTTTTTCTTGATTTAATTTCTAATTTCATTGCATTATGGTCAGAAGTGATACTAAGTATGATTTCTAATTTTAAAATTTGTTGAGACCTGTTTCATGACTTACCCTATGATCTGTCCTGGAGAACGTTCCCTATATTGAGAAGAATGTGTATTATACAGCTTTTAAATGGAATATCCTGTAGATGTTACTTAGGTCTAATTGCTTTGTGGTACAGTTTAAACTCTGCTGCTTTGTT